AAAATTAATGGTACTCCAATTACAACAGTCAATGCTGAATATTATTCATAAACATAGATCAGCACACATTTGGAAAAACATCTGCTCTTTAACATAAAGTTSCTGTTAACTCTTCTTTGTCAAAGAGCTTTACATCAAAACCTTGGTGAATACAAAAAGCATAGTGACACTCCAGTACAATCACATGTATTTGAGGTCCCTACACAACTGATTTCCTGGAAAGAACATTGTGGGAGTATATTTGGATTCTATATGATAAAAATATCTACTTGTTTAGAACATCAAGGAAGACAAAAGAGGCAAGATAAAATTTCAGATTTGAGTGTTCTTCACCTTGAGATTTACTTGAGCTTTATTTTTGCACTTCTAATTTAATTTAAAGAAACAAGGCACTAATTACCTTGAACTACTTTTGTCATGAAACACTTTTTGGCTCATCCTTGAGCAGGGCAAGAACTATCACTGCAGTGCAAATGATTCAGGTTTTGTTTTCAGAAAGCATGAAAAACTAAGCTTCCATAAAGCTAYAGTTAATCTCTTCTTAGTCCATTTGACCAAAGTTAACAAGAACAGAATGAGTTTTCTTACAGCTCGTACTTTCTCTACTAATATTTATTTTGATCATAATTAAACACAAAAGTACAAGTGTTTTATATTTTCAGTTCCTTGTCATTCCTTAGAGACAAAGGCTCTGAGACAGTTACATTTTCCACACAAGTTCATAAATTCACCTCACAGCAGCAAATGCTTGATTCCTCAGAGGAAGGCAACATTTCCCACCATACACCAAGGTGACCGTGCTGTGTTGGAATGAGGGGAAAGATGGTACACCCTAAAAGATAAAATCCAGTTTATCTGAATACAGTTTATAGAACCATGGAACCATCAAGTTTGGAAGAGACCTTTGTGATCATCCAGTAACTGTGATCATCCAGCACCCCAGCACTACCACTGTAACCCCTAAACCACCGAACTGTCACCCAGTGTCAGACRCAGATGCCTCTGAAACACCCCCAGGGATGGTGACTGCACCACCTCAGCAATCTGCTCCCCTGCCTGATCGCCCTCACGGTGAAAGTTTTCAATTACCTGAGCTGAATTGGCCCTGTCTCAGGKTAAGAACACTTCCTTGTGTTCTCTCACTGCAGGTGCTATAGAGGTGACCGGCCCCCACCTCACTCCAGCCTCTCCTCAGGGAGCTGTGGAGAGCAATGAGGGCCCTCCTGAGACTCCTGGTGACTAAACAAACGCAGCTCCCTCAGCCACTCCTCATCAGATATGTCCTCGAGCCCCTTCACAAGCCTTGCTGCCCTTCRCTGGACACTCTCCAGTGTCTCCATGTTGTTTGTGGAAGTGAGGAGCCCATCCCTGGACACAGCACTCAAGGTGTGACCTCACCAGTGCCAAGCACAGTCACATCCCTGGTCCTGCTGGAACTGCTGTTCTGGACAGAAGTCAAGAAGCCCTTGGCCTTCTCGGCCACCTGGGCACAGCTGGCTCATGTTCAGCCTCTGTCAAAGCACCCCAGGTCCTTTCCCACTTTCCACTTTGCAGTCACTCTGCCCCAGCCCGTGGCACTGCCTGGGGTTGTTGTATGTTGCGTGTAGGACCGGGCACTTGGTCATGATGAACCTCATGCCATCAGTCTGGCCCATTGACCCAGCCTGCCCAGGTCCTTCTGCAGGGCCTTCTACCCTCCAGCAGATCAAAATCTGACCTAACTTCACAAATTTGCTAATCATAGACTCCATCCCCTCACCTAGATCCCCAATAAAGATATTAAACAGGACTGGGCCCAGCACTGATCCCTGGGGGACTCCACTCAYGACTGGACACCAACTGGATGCAGCACCATTCACCAGCACTCTGGGCCCATCCATCCAGACAGCTCTTAACACAGCAAAAAGTGCCCCTGCCCAAGCCATGGGCTGCCAGCTCTCCTGAACTTCTTCAGTAAAGGGTTGTTAAGCACTGGAAGGGCTGTCCAGGGAGGCTTTAGAGTCACCGTCCCTGGCAGTGTCCAAGAAATGACTGGATGTCACTCAGGGCTACGTTTAACTGGGCATGGCCATGTTCGGTCAAAGGTTGGACCCAATGATCYTGGAGACCKTTYCCAAACTTTATAATTCTAAGATGTAACACCAAACTCTTCCAAACTGCAAGGGGGGGAAGAGATGGATCTCTGTGTGGATGAGGCAGACTGAATAATGTTCAGAGACACAGACATACTACTTCCCAAGCACAGAGGCAACTCACTATTCTGCTACGTGGCTTTAACCAATTTGCTTCTATAAACTTATTTTCAGTGAGTCAACCCCACAAACATGCTGTTCAAGCAGCATGTTCAACGATAAAAGATCATCAGAAGACAGTAAGAATTTCAGCTTAGAAAAACAAGAATTTAAAATAATGTTAATAATCTATTTCGAAGTAGAAAGATTTCAGATGTCACAGGTGCTGGGAATAAAAGAGCAGATATTCATGACAACTTCTTTCTTCTATGGAAGCAGAAATTTTTTTCTGGAGAGCAAAACAAGACAGAAGAGGCATCTTTTTTTTCTCTTTTAGAAACACCCATTTTGATAATAGTTACCTATAAGACATAAGTAGAAATTCACTCTGCAATTTTTCTTTCCTATGCTTGAAATTAAAAGCACAGCAGAAAAAGAAACTAAATCAAAAGCAAGCAATCTAAAAGAAGAATCACTGAAAACATATGTAGATCATCAGAGAGGCAACAGAAAAAATTCTGGCAGCTGTCAACGCTATGCACAAAAAAAAAATCTTAAGAGTAGCTGGTTTCTGTTAAGAGTCAGTAAACTATCAAACTGTAACAGTAATATTCATGAAATTTTTGTATACAGATATGTATTTGCACACAGCTGCTACAAAGTTGACAAAATAAGTATGGGGGGTGGAAACATGACATTTCCAAGCACAGCTCCATGGCCACCTGTGGGAAGTCCAAGTCACAGCCAGTTCATTTCTCTCTGCGCACCTGCTTAGCATTCCCTCTCTTTTTAAATCTGAGTAATTTTATTAACCTATTAGAATACTTCCACCTGAATTGCAAAAATAAAAGTTTAATTTGACAGTTGTCGTTTGGCCTTAACTTCAATAATTTTAGTTGAAGGTTGTAACAACAGTCATGCTGAGTCTGACAAATGGTCTGCTTGGCCTAGTGTCATTTCTCCTGCAGTGGCCATAAACAGACACCTAGGTGACAGAAACATGGACTTGTTAAAATGCCTCCACAAAACTAACAGGAGATTTCTCTCCATTTGTCTGGYAAAAAAATGGGTCAGGCCCTCCACAGACACCAGCATTATGTTAGCTCACTTCTGTCAGGAAAACAGTTGTTCTTATTCCTACTTTTACAAGAGAGAGCACTACATCCTTAAATGAAAAACCAGGAGAAATGGAAGTACTGTGASCAGAAACAATCACAAAAAGTATGACATGAACTTTTGTGAAGAAGCAGAAGTAAAGTCAATGAAGATATGAACTTCAGCTTCTGGAAGACTGAAGCTAACACTTAGCTGGTTTAAGTGATCAAGCCTGTCAGTCATGTTAAAAACGGCTGGCCACAAAAGCTGTTGACCTTTGTGTGTTAAATCATGCTTTCCAGTTGCGAGTCCAAAGATTACCACAATGAGTGCAATTTAAGTCGGCAACATGACTAATTTAAACTTTTTTTAAATATGACTTTTAGTCCTTTGGTTCTAAAAGACGTTACCTAGTCAGTTGTTTTCCTGCTTCTGCAGAGCTGGTCAATGGCCCAAAGATGAAACCAGCACAATTTTATCCCACTGCATTAGCAAGGYTCATATGCACACTGACCAGAAATGCTTCAGATTAGTATTCCTATTGTAGGAGAAGAATTAAAGCAATAAAAGCAGTCCAGAAAGAACACTATAGCTTAGAGACACCATGGAGTAAATGGAAAACATGGCAAGACAGAATCAGTGCAGTTTCCCTGATACATACATGTTTTTCACTGGATAAGTGGGGAGAAGGGTCCTCCTTTAGCTGCTAGCCACAACTTGGCTAACAAAGCTCTCTGGCAGGTGCACAGAAACAGCTGTGGCAGGTGAGCTTCAGAAGAGTTAATACAACCACAAGACATTTCAACTTCCAGGCATATCTGTCATGCAAATCTAAAAACTGAATAACCAGCAGCAGTTTAAGTTCTTACACTTCCAATATCACCCTAAAAACTGTTAAGATATGGACCCTGCAGACCACCAAGACAGAGAATGTGAAGGAGGCAGCACCCTTAACCCCACAGATGTTCCTTGTCAGAACTCTTTCTAGTCTCAAGAAGACAAGAGAGAATGAGAGCTTTCAAAGTGTGAACTGGATSTTGGACACCAGCAAATGTCCATTGCTGGCAACTCTTCCTCCTGCCCCCTGCTCAGGATAACAAAYGCAGTGTGTGAGCAGCACTGCCAGACCACGGCCAGTCTGTCTGYCCACCCACACCAACCCCTGCCTTACAGTTTAAGGTCTTTATGGAAACATGGTAACATCAGCCATACACAGATAAACACACATGCATAAAAAATACAGCATTTGCTCCTTCCCCATCAATTCAGGTTTTTTCCATTATCCTGGCAAAATTAGAACTTCAGCAAAGCTGCTCAGTGACTGTTAAAACCCTCTGTTCTATAACACTGATGACAGTAATTGGAGGTGGGGAGGAAGGGAAAAAAGAAATTAACTTCTCATTTAAGGACATAAAGTACTGCCTGCGTGCCCCTGGTTCCACTTAAACTGAAAAATCTGYAGAGCTACACACTGAAAGAACAGTCATGTCTTAAGTCACAGATTCCAAAACCTCATTTTCTACAATCATTGATGACCTACAGAGAAAATTTCACCAAATTACAGAAATATGGAACACCTCTATTAGAAAAATAACTTAATAGGTAACTGGGCTTTTCCTCAAGCTTTCATTAAACCAATTTAGAAACTGTCAAATAATAATTTATAAATCTTACCTGCTTTTTTCTTGAAGTTGCCTTGGGCAACAGACTGGCTGACAAAACTGATGTAAACGGGGAGCAACACAGCTCAGGAAAAGGATTTGGAATCGATGGGTTCTCCAAAATACTGTCACCTTTCTTTTTTCTCCTATTTCAACAGAATACATAGTATCAAGCAATAATTGTAACAACTGCTGTTAAAATTGCAATATCCAACCACAATACACGAACTACTAAGGCATTAATACCACGATGCTTCCTGGTTGCAGCAATTAGCTTTTTTTTTGCAGTTATTTTATTTAATCAGTAGGCTGAATATATTAACATACAGTGCCTAACACTACTTGAAAGCAATCCAAGTATTCAGCTCTGAATATAAAGTTGTTTGAAAATGCGTAAGTCTTTGCAGAGTAAGAGCACAGATATATTTATATTGGCTTCTAAGGACATTAGTAAATATTTTGTTGTCCCTGTGTTTATGCCATTCCCTATGTACACATATTACAACAGTAGATGCATGTAACTTCTCAGTAAAACTTCCCAAATACATCACAATGGTATTTTAAACAAATGGAAACTTTTTTTTAACCAGAATCGAATCAAAGTAACTGACAAGACAAAACAGTGCAAAGCAATCCATTAATTTTTGTTTTCAGTTAGTTTTGAATTGGAATCTCTGCAGCTTCATCATAAAATAAATGTCTCAGTTGTTGCTGCCTGCTTGAACAGGATTGTGTCAGAAGAATCACCAAGCAGCATTTGCAGGAGTACTGATGGTAATCACTACTGTACTTGCTGAAGAGCTCAGTTATGCACTGGTTTAAAGTATCTCATTAATAATGTGGTTGTTTAGACTGCTGTGTACATTACAGTGCATGGTTTTCTCATATAAAATATTGAAGAGCACTTTGTCTACTTGATTTCATCTGAAGACCWGCACCCAAAGCACCTGAGGTACTTGCGTCTGCCAACACACAATGAGATTTTTCTACGTGTGAGTTGATGTCTTCAAGCTTAGTATTTTACTTTATTAACTTCTTTACTAACATTCCAAATTTCATATATAGTAATTGGTATGAAGTAGGAAAAACCATCAGAAGGTAACAATACAGAATKAAGATTTGCTTCACTTACTGAAAATCCTTACCAAACATTCATCTAAAGTGGTATTTTGCTTCAGGGGGAGCAAAAAATTCTGTATGCAGTATTTCAAGATTTTGTAAACTTCAGTCTATCAAAACTCATCAGATGCTTCATACAAAACCTAGCTCGCAGTCTCCTTTACTAAGAATAGACCAATGCCTTTAAGAACAGCCTGAGAGGTAATAACCGGGGTGCACGCCGCTGACGGCGGCACCGCTCCCGGTGAAGCGGTTTTATCTCAGCAACACTCTCAGAAAGACACTGCAAGGATAAAGTAGCAGCTGGCTCAGCCTGACAAGGCAGGCTCGGCACCGCCGGCTCCTTTCACCTCAAACTGGGAAACCTCAAAAATAAAAAGGGGGTGGGGGGTGGGACACACACACGCATCCGCAGCGGCGGAAAGTGTCTGCAGGGCCGGGAAACAACTTTTGAGCTGCAGGGAGGCGCGGGCCGGTCCAGAGCCAGGCCGCCCCCCCTCCTGCGCTTCGCCCCCTCCCCAGCCCGCCGCACCCCGGCCCCGCCAGCCCCG